CTACTGTTAATAAAACCACTTTTGCACGTTATGTTTTGACCCAGCACAGTAATGCGGCAGAGCATCCACATTGCGGCGTCGGTTTTACAATAGCTTGTAATCGTAAACTACTCAGAAGCACCCATAGGCCTCTAGAAGCAATGGTTCATCTTTGCCAGTGGAAGACCCCGAAAAAGCTGTACAAAGGTGTGTGGAAGACACGTTACAACGGTAGGGAAAAAACGGCACTTAGTTACTCCGAATATCCGCCTATGCCTTTCACAGCTGTTTCATCAACCGAGTCAGATCTTCAAGTTTTCGAGGAGGTTTTCGCAATCCTTCCTTTGATTTTCAGCACCTGCTCGTTCATGGTTCGACTGTAGTAATGCACCGAACAATCTTTTAAAATATTTCTACAGCAGCATCCCTGTCGTTCCTCACAACGTTCATGATTACAGACAGAGAACTTGAAAGCGCTGCTTCATAAACGAGGTCGATGCTGCTGTATGAGGAATAAATTACCCTTCGGCTGTAATGTCAATTCTGACTCAAACGCAAGTTTTTCGGCGTCACTCTTCGCAGCCCTTATGGAGGTCATTGAGCGAGCAAGTCAATGAGCGTCGCAGCTTTCCGTGAGGTGATTCCTAATCGCTTCACAACCTGATACGATTATCGGCGAGTGCCATCAAGGTCAGATTTCATTAAAGGATCCGTTTACTAACAGATGGCAAGAAGGCGGCATGACCATGACTGGATCCACAAGTCCTCGATTCCTGTTCACGCGATAAACTGCAAAAACGCGAATGAAAGACCTCGAAGACCGCACGAGCGCTGAACCAGACTTCGCAAAGAAGTAGCGTCTCCTAGCCGAGTGCCTGTTGAGCAAACTCAACAGTTTTCTGTTCCTCCATGCCCTTTACACTGGTAAGGAAAATAAACTTTGTCACCGTCGGAATGTCGGTTTTATTTCATTTTTATGATCGTTTTGGCGGCCGTCTTTTCAAGAGGTTGGTGATGCGGTGCTGACTTCCGTTTCTATGCCACCAGCCAGAAGTGCTTTATTTTTCTTGACAGTCTACAGCAGTGTGCAGAATCTACAGCCATGTGGCAAACGTTGCGTAGTCTCCTGTTTTCTGCTCACAGAGTGGTACTCATTTATCAACCTCCGAAGGAAAAAGGGATGGTCATCTCCTACCGTGGCTTGCACTCAGGAACTATAGGCTGTGAGTTCGATGCCCTAACCTCTGAACAACCAGATTTGAAGCAATGTATGATAAATTCCTTGTTGAAGAAAATTCATGAATAAGATAAAGATTGTCCCCGAGCTTAATCGAACCAGACATCTTCGAAGTTCGAAGCAGACCTGTTAGACAATTCCCACAACTATTTTCACTAATGAGGGTCGGCTAATTGAAATCTGCGAAACACCTCTCGAAAGAATTTTTGCTTCTCTGCATCAGCGACATTACTTGAACGTTAAGAATTACCTATTACCACCAACTGGTTTATAAACCACTGCTATGTATTCATAACTGATGCAATCGGGTGTTCTACCTTTTAGATAAATTAAAGGTTGTTTTCCTTCTGAGATGCTCTCTGAGTGCTGTTCCACTGTCGATGCTCCATTCCTTGTTTCGACTGCTTTCTCAATCGGGGGTTTCAAAGTTAACGACAAGTTCCACAGCTACTGTAGTAATTTGGAAGCACGCGACAGTTTCGCATGGTTTTCGTCATCACATCTCTTCAACTGAGAAAGAGGCGGGAACCAAGTCTAGCTTTCTGGTGAATAGCAAATTTTTTTCTGTTTGACCCCGTTCTTACCATAATCAGCGGTGATGCAAATCCACATACTCTAACGATATTAACTTGTCATGATTAACCGACCGATAGTTCTGAACTGAATCTTCCTCGATCACTTGTCACGAATAAAAATCGTTTCATTTTTCGCCACGAAAATGTGAAGTATTATCCGGCTGATCAACCACCGATGTTTTGATCTCTATCCCAACAGTTTCTCTCGTGTTTCCTCAGCGCACAATAAAGTCACTTCCGGTCTGCTACTTGTCCCATGCTAGCAGCGGAACTTTCCGAAAGCTTGGACAAAGTCACTTTTTTAGCCGGATGAATCCCGCTACGGAAGCGTAAACCGGTCTCATTTCACGTTATCGCAAATCGAACGAATGCATCGGTTGTTGTATTATAATGTTGTTCGTCATACAGCAATAATTTTGTCTTCCACTTATTGCGATGTAACGTAAAAACGGTTCAGCTGAAGTTATCGCTAATACGGGGTGGTGGCATAGTGCCTCAGAGATCAGCTTCGAACTGCGAGGGTGCCTGAGTCGATTCCGGCGGAGGACAATGTTTGCCATACCCACGAATTCTCTTGAGCAAGGAATTTTCCACACGTTGCTCAGATTGGGTTTGCTCAGTCGGTTGAACATCGGACTCCAAACCGAGAGGTCCCGCATTCCTCGGTACGGATCATTCGCCTTTCTTTTTCTGAAGTTGATAAATGAGTACCATCGTGGGAACGAAACTGGACATTACACTGTGTGACTGCCACCGCTGCTGACGACTCTATATTTGAAATAAGGCACTCCCGGCTGATGCCACGAAAAAGTAGTTCAGCATCCCATCATGAACGATGTTTCAGGAATTGGTGCTTTTTAAAAGCTACCGCAGAAATGTCATAAGTTGTTCGTATGCTGGAATATGTGAAGT